TTCAAAGATCTTATTGGCTTTATTCAATGATTCATGAATCTAGCAGCATCCAATCTAGCAGAAAGAAAGGTGCTCCAAGGAGCTATACAAAATGGAAGACTTCTGTAAGCAGAAAGGAACAGGTACAAGGAAGTTATTTTAGGCAAAAAAGTGGGTAGGTTATTGCAAGGTCATTTTTCCTTCAGGGACAGCAAGGATCTGTCAAGCAGATTATCTAACTAGTGCCAATTAGGCAACTTCTGATTGATTGGTTTAAGATTCCATTTCTGGTAGAGTTAAAACTATAATTAAATTAAGTCTCAATTTGGTGGCTTGGGGCTTAGCATAAATGACTCCATTTTGTGCTTATAGTGTTGTTTTTAACAGTCCATAGGAGGCAGATCAGAACTGAACCTCAATGGGTCAACTGCCTCCTAAGACAAAAACTCATCATTTTCCATAGGATTTAACCAACACCTAGTCTCATAACATAATATTCGAAATGTTCAGGATACAATCTCAAATTACTCTACATACAAAGAACCAAGAAAGTCTGAACACTGAGATGATCTGGATGGAATAGTCAGAAAAAGACTTTACAAATGAAAAGATAAAAATAGAAAGATACAGAAAAATAGAAGATACAGAAAAATAACCAAATAGAAAAATTTAAACTAAGAAATTACACTCATCAAAAATTGAAAATATACTGGATGGCCTTAGTAGCAGAATGGAGATGACAGTTCAAGTCTGTGAACTTGAAAATAGATCAATAGAAGTTAACTGTCATAGGCAGAATACCCATCCTTTCCAAAGATGTCCATGCTGTATTTCCTGGAAATAGTGAATGTTGCTCTATATGACACAAGGGACTTTGCAGATCAATTGAAGTTTTGGACTTTTAAATCAGGATTATCTGGATTATTGAACAGGCCTAATCACATGAATCCTTAAAAGCAGAGAACTTTCTCTGGCTGGATTTAGAGAGATGCAACAGAAGGAAAAGTCAGAGGTATTCAAAGTGTGAGAAGGACTCAACCCCCTGGATAGCATTTGAAGGAATATGGGCAGCTTCTAGGAGAAAGGACCAGCCTCCAGCTGATAGTTAATAAGGAAATGGGGCCCTCTATCCTACAACTACAAGGAACTGAATTCAGTCAACAACCTTAATAAGCTTGGGAGCAGAATCCTTACCAGAGCTTCCCTGTAAAAAGAAAAAAAAAATGCACATGATTTCAGCCTTATGAAACATTTTGACTTTGGCTTTGTGAGACTCTCAGCAAAGGATTCAGTCAAGCCCAACCAGACTTCTGACCTACAGAAATTGTGAAATATTAATAGGTATGGTTTTAAGCCATTAAGTTTGTGGTAATTTGTTATAGCAGCAAGAGAAAACTAACACATTATCCACTGAATATCAGAAGTGGTTAAGATATTAATTCTAAATAGATTTTGAAAAATTAAATACATATAATATATTCTCTAGTGTGACCTCTGAAACAACTATATAAAATCAAAATGGAATACTTTTAAAATATTCAATAACCTCTGAAACAACCATATAAAATCAAAATGGAATACTTTAAAAATATTCAATAATCCAGAGGGCAGCAGGAAAAGGGAAACAAATGGAAAACAGAGGACAAACAGAAAACAAATGGTAGACCTAGATCCAAATATTGATAATTTCGGTCTAAACACACCAATTAAAAGACAGATTGGATGTGTAAAAAAAAGGACTCAAATCTATGGCGTCCATAAGAAATCCATGTTCAATCTAACAATATAGTAGGTTCAAAGTAAAAGGATGTAAAAAGGTATGTCATGCAAATACTAAAAACAAACTAAAAATTATTAATATTAAAATATTAATATTTGACAAAGTAGACTTCAAAAAATTAAGAAGGGGACGCCTGGGTGGCTCAGCAGTTAATTGTCTGTCTTCGACTCAGGGCATGATCCTGGAGTCCCAGGATCGAGTCCCACATTGGGCTCCCTACATGGAGCCTGCTTCTCCCTCTGCCTATGACTCTGCCTCTCTCTCTGTCTCTCATGAATAAATAAATAAAATCTTAAAAAAATTAAGGATTAAGAGACAATTGCATATTGAAAAAAGATCAATTCACTATGAAGACATAATAATCCTAAATATATGTATATACCTAACAACAAAGCTTAAAAATACATGAAACAAAAATTAATAGAATTGAAAGGAGGTGTAAACAAACCTACAATTTTAAATACTTCAACACTCTTCTCTCAGTAACCAATAAAACAAATAAACAGAAAATTAGGATAAGTATGAAAGAATCGAAACCACCATCAATCATCATCAATCAATAAACTGACTTTTATTAGCCACTCTATCCAAAATAACCTTTTTTTCCTCAAGTGCACATGAAACATTCACCAAGATAGACCAAATCCTATATGATAAAGTAAACATTAACAAATTTAAAAGAAATAAAATCATACAACTTATGTCCTTTGATCATGATGGAATTAGAAACCAATAACAGAGAGATGGTTGTAAAATTTCCAATACTTAGAAATTAAACTATACACTTCTAAATAATACATGTGTAAAGGAGGATATTTTGAGAGAAACTGGAAAATATTTTGAAATGAACAAAAATGAAAATGCAACACATCAAATTGTGGGATACAGGTCTAAAGTCTAAGTTTCTGCCTTATAAAATTAGAAAAGAGAACAAGGTAAATTTGAAATAAGCAGAACCATGGAAATAATAAAGAACAGAAATCAATGAAGTAGAAAAGGGAAGAACAAAAGAGACAATAAAAAACAGGGTAGGTAATTGTCTAAAAAGATTTAAAAAATTGATAAACCTCTTGCCAGACTAATAAAGAAATAAAGAGAGAAGACAAATTACCAGCATGAAGAATAAAAAGGTGATATTTCTGTGGACTCTGCAGATAATAAAGATAATAAGGAATACTACAAATAACTCTCTGTGCATAAATTTGACAACTTGGATGAAATGGAGCTAATCCTTAAAAATCACAAACTACAAAAACTCACCCAAGATGAAATAGGTAACTTGAATAGTCCTAATGACTAAAAGAATGGAATTCATTGTTGAATTTTTTTTAAATTTTATTTATTTATTCATGAGAGAGAGAGAGAAAGAGAGAGGCAGAGACATAGGCAGAGGGAGAAGCAGGCTCCATGCAGGGAGCCCAATGCAGGACACATCCCAGGGCTCCAGGATCATGTCCTGAGCCAAAGGCAGGCGCACAACCACTGAACCACCCAGGCGTCCCAGTTGTTGAATTCTTCTGAAAAAGAAATCTTCAGGTCTAGATGGTTTCACTGATAAATTCTACCAAACATTTAAAGAACATTCAAATTTACATCTCTTTCAGTAAGTAGAAGGGGAGACAATACTTTCCTCCCTAACTTCCTTAATTTAACAAAGGGCTTCCTTAACTACAAAAAGCCTATAATTAACATCATAATTAATGGTAAAAGGCTGAACACTTTCTAAGACCAGGAACAAAGCAAGAATGTCTGTTTTCATCATTCATATTCATCATTGTACTAGAAGTCATAGCCAGTGTAATAAAATAATAAATCAAAGACATTCAGGATGGAAAGGAAGAAATAAAACTATTTCTATTTGTACATGACAAGACTGTCTACATGTAGATTGCAAAGGAATCTACAAAAATGTTCTTAGCAAGGTTACAGGACACAAAGTCAAAATACAAAAATCAACTGTGTTTCTATATAGTACCAACAGTGAACAACTGGAAGCCAACATTAAAAACTTTTGTACACATGTCCTTCCTCAAAAGAAATACTTAGGTATAAATACAGTAAAATATATAAGATTTACATGCTGAAAACCACAAAACACTGATGAAAGACATCAAGACCTAACCAATGGGGAGGCATACTATATTCATGGATTGGAAGATTCAACTGAGTAAAAATGGCAATTCTCCCCAAAATTGGCCAATAGATTTAACACACTTTCAGTGGAAATCCCAGGAGGAGTTTATTACTGTTGTTGATACAGACAAGTTGGTTCTAAAATTAATATGAAAGGCAAAGAAATTAGAATAGCCCCCCAAAACTTCTTTTTTTTTTCAAAACTTCTTTTAAAGAAAATTGGAGGACTCATATTGTCTGACTTGAAAACATATTATAAAGCTACAGTAATCAAGATAGTGTGGTATTGGTGAAGTGAAATCACACGGAATAAAAAGTCCAAAACAGACCTACACAGAGGAGCAAAGGTAGCTCAATAAAGGACAGTTTTCAACAAATGTAGTTGAAACCATTAGACAATTACATGAAAAACTATGAACCTCAAACAAATCCTTACAACTTATACTAAAGGACCATAAAAAATAAGTGAAAAATTTAGATCCTCAAACTGAACATAGGAGTAAATCTTTGTGGTCTGGAGTTAGGCAGAGTTCTTAGACATGACACCAAAAAACAATCCATAAAAGGAAAAATTGGCAAGTAGCATTTCATCAAAATTAAAAACTTTGCTCTGCAAAAGATACTTCTAAGAGAAATGAAAAGATAAGTTCGACTGGGAAAAAATATTTACAAATCTTTATCTGACAAAGGACTTGTATTCAGAATATATAAAGTATTCTCAACACTCAAGAGTGAGAAAACAGCCCAATTTTAAAATGGGCAAAAGAATAGACACTTCACAAAAGAAGGTATGTGGATGGCAATTAGGCACACAAAAAGATATTCAACATCATTAAACATTAGGAAAATGCAAATTGAAAACACAATGAGCTAATACCACACACCTATCAGAATGGCTAAAATAAAAAATATTGGCAGTACCAAATACCAAATACTAGTGTAAAAGTGGATCTCTTATAGTGGAATGCAAAACAGTATAGCCACTCTGGAAGTCTGGCAGTTTTTTTTAGAAAGTTAAACATAACCTTTGCCATATAACTGATCAGTCCCATTTGTTGGTATGTAGCCTAGATAAATGAAAACTTATGTTCACATAAAAACCTAAAACAAGTGTTCGAAGCAGTTTTATTCAAAATTAGAATAACGCAAATATCCTTCAGTGGGTGAATATGACAACAAACTGTGGTTATCCATACAATGAAATACTACTAAGCTATAAAAAGCAACATGCATGAAACTCAAAGATATACTGAAAGAAGCCTTTAGAGGTTACATCCTCTATGATGCTATGTATGTGACATTCTAGAAAAGGCAAATCTATAGGAACAGAGATCAGATTGGTATGTGCCACAGGCTGGGGGCAGGGCAAAGGTTTGACTACAAAGTGGTGGCATAAGAGGATTTTTTGGATGATGGAACTGCTCTGTGTTCTGATTGTAGAGGTAGTTACACAGATGTGTTAAAACAGAACTGCACATATAATTAATTTTATCGTATGTTAACTCAAAAAAATTTTTAAATGAAGATAAAATATGTCACAATCAATTTCTCTCTAAAAAAGCTCTAAGAGAAACTTTCCATCTGGGTTTCTTCCAGAAAGACTGCTTTGTGGGGGCCCTGCCACACCAGCCCTGGTGTTCGTGCGTCTGTTTGTTCGCCTGTGTAACGAGAAGTCAGTCCAAAGCAGTGATTTTTCTTCTCCTCTGCACCCTAAAATTGCACCCCTGGGCATGCCCTTTATGAAAGTGGCAGTAGGGTAGGTTTGGAGGGAGAAGGCAAAATTTGGCCTCCACTGGGCTCTGGACTCACAGAACAGTTGTGCTTTTGTCTGTTTCATATAAGGTTCATCTGAAAACCTCTGGGTTAGAATAACTGGTCTTAAGTCAGATTCTCAGGCCCCTACGGGGTTTGAACAATCCTGGACTTCAGGGCATATAGCTGGGGCCGACTCATTTGTCCCTTTGGCATGTGCCCCCATGGACCCAGTGGTTAGCCGGCACCCACATTAATGGTCAGCAATCTAAACAAGGCCTTTTAGGGGAAGCTGGAAGTGTGCTCCTTGCTTTAGGACCCCAAGATCACACGTGGATTGAACACAATGGAAACTCGGAAAAGGCTACGAAGTTTAGGCCTCTTCAAAGGTAGGGTCTGAAAGAACCTCAGACCATTTTTTTTTTTCCCCACACAGGATAACTTTTATGAAGAGCATTTTGTAAACAGTGAAAGGCTGTGTACGGATGGTTTGGAAATGCCATCGTGAGGATGACCACACTGACCCAGACCAGCAGGGCCAAAGCAGCATCCGTAACGAGAGTTGCTACCATAAAGCACCCACCATGTGCCAGGCGCCGTGTTAAGGGATCATTGAATCTTCATGACAACGCTGGGAGGAAAGGGCTGTCAGTGGTTGGACAGATGAGAAAGCTGAGGTGCCAAGAGGTCCTGATCACATGGGGGAGGAAGTGACAAGGCTAGGTTCCGGTCTGCAGCTCTGGCTTTCCAAATCGAGACCTTTGAGGGGAACCCCTGAAGCCTGATGTCAGGTCTGCTCTTCACATGTGCCTCTAAGAAGGAAACTAATGCCACCCCCCAAAAGCTGGCAGGGAACGGCCAAGGATACTTTGAGATCTTGCCATGTATGACAGTACTCAAAATCAAATATATTTTTAAAAATTTTATGACTATGAAATGCTTTCTTTGAAAAACTATGTCATATGTAAATCAAATCCAGGAAACCAGAGTTGGGCCCCTGTGGGTTGAAGGTGGAAGCAGGGTTGGCCTGGGCCCCCAGGACCAGTGCACTACCCAAAGGCCACTTATCTAGGGGATTGGCACTTACTGTGAACACCACAGGAGGCACCATGATGGTTAAGGCTCTGGCTTTGGGTTTGAAAGAATAAAGTGGAATTGTGGCTGACTCATTCATTCCTGGGTTAGTCGGTCTGGTGGAGGACAGCAGGATTCTAGGCTTGCTAAACACTTAAGGTGCTGGACTTTGACCCGGGCACTTGCCTCACTCTCCCCTCTGGCCAGCAGCCGTGACATGTCACTTAGAGGGTTGGAAACTTCTCTGCACCAATGGGCAGTTAGTGAATTTCATCTTTGAAGATATGGGTAATAAGGTTAAAATCTACAGCACCTTTCCTTTTTTTTCTGACCCTCATAAAAGGCATCATCTGTTTTGGCTGTATCAACAAAAGGAGAATGTTTAAGTTCAGATCGTGGTGGAGGGTCTACAGCAGATCTGCACCCCCGACCTGGGTGCGGGGACTAGTAGGATGGCTCACAGTGGAATCATCAAATGGACCTCCTTCTCATAGATGTCAGGGATCACTCCCATAGGGGAGCTGACCATGTGCACGGTATTCTTGCCAAACAGCTGGAATTCGTAGTGGATGAGCTGCTCCCAAAACCCGCTGTTGGGTCGGATGATGGGCCGGCATGACTTGGTCCACGTGTGGGCATCCAGCAGGGACATGGCGTGGTACTTCATGAGGTAGGCCAGGCAGAGGGCAGCTGAGCGGCTCACACCAGCGGCGCAGTGCAGGAGCGTGCGGCCCTGCTTCATCTCTACACTGTGGATGTGGTCAGCTATGGGATCAAAGAAGTCACAGAGACGTGAGATGGGTGTGTCAGCCACAGGCACCTGTACGTACTGGATGTCCTCGTATAAGGTGTTTACCACTTCCACCGAGACGTTGATGACTGTGGTGATCTGGTTGCTGGAGAGCATGAGCTTGTTGTTGGCGGCCACTCCATTGCTGATATACAGGCTGCTGGTGATCTGTGAGAGGCCGCTGACCACGGGCTGCCGGAACTGAACCGGAAAGGTGCATGGGGGTGCTGTCATCAGGCCAGGCGGTCAGCGGCCAGGGAGGCACAAAGGCTACGTCTTTCTGTTAGGCCATGCCATGGAAAACTGCAAGGAGGGAGAGAACATTTAAGAGAGCAGGAGGCCAGCCGAGCCAGAAAGTCAACCCCAGGGGATTTCTGGGGAATGGATAAATGGGTCAATACTGGATCTCCAAAGTAGTCCTCTGACCATCCCAGCAGAAGTACCCAGAGAACTTATCTACAAGTCTGGAACTCAAGGCCTCCCTTGAGGGGCTCCACATCTCTAGCTGAGCAAGCTGACTGGTGTCCATCAGCTGGGCCTTGGCCCCTCTGCCTAGGTTCACAGCCCTCTTCTCCCTCTAAGTGGAGGAGCCACAAGCAGCCTCTTGCTTCTCCTCTGACTTTATGCTCAAATCATGAGATTCTGAAGCACTGACATGGTGCTAGAGCCTACTGTGCTGGGAGTCACTGGTGGTATAAGAGAAAGGGGGGTCTCAGATTCCCCTCCCCAAGAACCATCCCTCTGAAGAGATAGGTTGTGTTTCTGTGAAAGTGATGTCAAATTACAGAGTCCTACATTAACGAGGCTCTTGCACTTTGCCTCTAAGGAGAGGGACTGGGGAAGAGGGTGGCTGAAAGCTTCCTGGAGGCCAGCATGAAGGGCACTAGAGCAGCTCCCAGAGAAACAGAGGGGCCTCAGGTAGACAAGCTATACCAGCATGATGCTGTGCGCAGCAGGGCTGTGGCAGGCACCCCAGGGAGGGGCACACCCCTGCTTTCTCCTAAGAAAGCTTAGGCCCGGGCAGCCTGAGTAGCTCAGCGGTTTAGCACTGCCGTCTTCGGCCAAGGGCATGATCCTGGAGCCCAGGGATCAAGTCCCACGTCGGGCTCCCTGCATGGAGCCTGCTTCTCCCTCTGCCTGTGTCTCTACCTCTCTGTCTCTCTGTTTCTCATGAATAAATAAGTAAAATCTTAAAAAAAGAAAGAAAGAAAGAAAGAAAGAAAGAAAGAAAGAAAGAAAGAAAGAAAGAAAAAGAAATCCTAGGCACTTCATTCTCCCAGTCTTGAACAAAGCTGCAAAAATAGCACATTTTCATATATTCCACTAAAACAGGAGTATTCGGATTTAGAGCACACTTCTCAAGGCCAAACGGCAGTCTTCATCAGGCAGAGACAAGTGAGGAGCAGAAGTTCTGTTCCCCTGCATAATATATTTCACCGGCTGGGCAGCCCGGGTGGCGCAGCAGTTTGGCGCTGCCTGCAGCCTGGGGTGTGATCCTGGAGACCCGGGATCGAGTCCCACATCGGGATTCCTGCATGGAGCCTGCTTGCTTCTCCCTCTGCCTGTGTCTCTGCCTCTCTCTTCGCTCTCTCTGAATGAATAAATAAATAAATCTTAAAATATATATATATTTCACTGGCTACCCACTGTCAGGATGAGATGGAGCCCCTTAGCTTGGCTTAGCTTGGCTGTCAAGGCCATTTGTGGTCTGGCTCCTGCCCATCTCTATCCCTTCTATTAGCTTTTCCTACGTCCTGAAGGACCTCAGCTAGGCTGAGCCATGTACAGTGCCACATGGACCCCTGGTCCTCCCTGCTCCAGGGCCTTCATCTTTGCTGCTCTCTTGGCCTAGAACCCTGTTTCCCTACCAGCCTATCACATCATGATCTGTTCCATTCAGCAGAGGACTTGGGATCTTAGCCAAGGGTCACTTCCTGAGGGAAACTTCCTGGAACCATACCCCTCCCCTATGTTTAATCAAGTCCCTGCTCCTCCAGGCCTTCTAAGTCTTATGTGCTCTTCTTCCTACTACTTCCTGAAGATGTGTTTTTTTTTTGTCTTGATTCATCTGTGAGTTCTATTGGGATTCACTATAACTATCTTTACTCCTACTGCATCACCAATGCTAAGTTCTGCGTCCCTACAAGTAGTTGCTTGATACATATCTACTGAATGAGGAATGACTCCAACAGCCATAACTCTGCCTTCTGAGAGATCTGGAAAGGATGAGTTCTCTGTCTTTGTTCATCTGAAATTTGGGGTTGGGGAAAGGGCTTGGTGGAGGTGAGGGTGGTTCCTAAGCTGCTGGAAAGCAAGGCCAAAGGCTACATAGGAAATCCTATCGGCCAATGCCCTAGAGTCAAATACAATAGGCTCACCCCAGGAAGGCCGGATGGGGTTGTTTGTTCTAAGGGTCATATGGGGCAGAGAAAAAGCCCCCCAAAAACTCAGTTGAAAGCCTAAATGCTAAGGGATGTTCATCACGCAAAATGGATTCTTATCACCCGAAAGCCCAGAGAAAAGTGCACTGCGGGTCCCCAAAATTAGTGCCCAGTAGGAAACAGAAATAGAGGAAACTGCTATCCATCCCAGTGACAAAAAGTTAGCAAAGAAGACATTTCTCTTGAAGGTAAGGGTAGCAATGGGAAGAGAGACATTTTCACGCTAGTTAAGAAATATTTTTCAGGCTCTGTATTAGGGGCTGGGGATATTGAAATGTAGACAGTCATGGCCCCTTCTTTCACAGAGCTCAAAGTCTAGTGGGAGAGGCAGATATTAAATAGGCAATTGTAGGGCAGCCCGGGTGGCAAAGCCTTCAACCCAGGGCATGATCCTGGAGACCCGGGATTGAGTCCCACGTCGGGCTCCCTGCATGGAGCCTGCTTCTCCCTCTGCCTGTGTCTCTGCCTTTCTCTCTCTCCCTCTCTCTCTGTGACTCTCATAAATAATAAATAAATAAATAAATAAATAAATAAATAAATAAATAAATAATAAATAAATATTTAAAAACAAATAAATAGGCAATTATAGGCACAACAGAGCTGGAAAATAATAATAGTGCCTGTCTTATAAGACCTTCTGAGGATGAAATGAGGTAACCCAGGTAAACTAAAGGGCCTGACACAGAGTAAGCCCTCTATAAATGGTAACTATTCTTTTTTTTTTTTTTTTTGTAATGGTAACTATTCTTACTGCTGTTAGGGACGTTGAAACGTAAAGCTTTACGGGAGGGAAGAATAAAGGGATTTATTTCAGGCTTGGGCCAGGGAGTTGCAAAGATCGCCTCAAGAAATGACACAAAGATTTGAAGAACATTTAGCGTGGGGGGTGGGGAGGGTGGTGGTGACTAGTTTCACCGTTTTATAGCCTATAAAGCCTCTGGCGTCCTTCATCTGGTTCTGTTTTCAAACAAACATAATAGGCCGGTGTCTGTAACTAATATCTTCGTCTTACACACGGGAAAGTGAAGTAGAGGAGAGAAAAGGGCCTGTCTAGGGTCACAAAGCACGGTCCGAAAGCTGGTCTTTCTGGTCTCATTATGTGTGGGAAAAGTCGGCAAGCACCGCGGGGCGTTCATTAATATTGGCTTATAAGCGTGCAACGAAGCCCGCGGGTTGACAAGAGCAAAGAGCCACATCCAGGGGTGAGCAGCCCAGGTTTCCTGCGCAGCTGACGTTGGCCTGCGCTCCCTCGTCTGTTGGGCGTCAAGACCCCCCAGTCTTACCTCTCTCCCGTTCGTTCAGGAAGCAACCGCGCCGGAAGCCTCGGCTGAGGGTCTCCGGGTGAGGGAAGATCTGTCACCATCCGGGCGCCACCATCCCTGGCTACCCCGCGCTCTGGTTTCCATAGCAACAGTCCCTCAGAGAAAGCCCGGCCTCTTCTTAGCTCCCTGGAGCCGCCCCCCCCACCCCACCCCCGGCCTTACTCGGTTACCCGCCCCGCGATCACGCGGGGGCCGAGAGGTAGTGTCAGCTCAGCGCGCCGCTGCCCGCTCGGTCTCGCGCAGCCCGTCTCCACGGCAACGCGCCCGGCTGCACCACGGCGGCCGCCGAGGGACAATCCTTGCCGCGTCCGCAGCCTCCTAGACTTCGCGCACACGTCCCGCTCCCGCCCCGCCCCGCCCCGCCTCCCCCCGCAACCTTCAGTCACGCGTCTCCCGGGCAACGCGCGGAGCTCAGCTCTCCGCGTCTGACCTGAGATTCACTCTGCGTCCGCGCCGGCGCCCGCCGACTGTCGTTCCGGAGTCGTTCTCGAGCATGGTAGACTCGGACTCGGCTGCCCAGCAGTCCAGGCCCCCGGTCACATGGAACCTGGGCTCGCCGTCCGGTTATTCGGCTGCCGCTCAGGCGACCACCAGCTCCGACGCCAACCCGGCCTCGGCCTCCCGGCACGTTAGGTTCAGCAGCCAACCCGAAATCAAAATAGGGGCCCACCCGCAGATCTGCTTCCTGCGGCCGCGGACCGTGCCGCGGCCGGTGCTCTTCAGGTGCGGCCCGGGTGCCCGGGACTCTCCTCGGCCCCCAGCTCTCTTCGAGCCCCCCCCCCCCCCCACCGCTCCCTCCTCCAGCGGCCCTGGGGACCTCGGCCCTGGCTCGCCCCGAGCCCTTCGGAGCCTGGCACTTTCTTAAACCCCGAGAGAGCCTGGATTTCTCACAGATGCGAGCCCCCGGCCCTTCCCAGTCCAACCGCTCGCACCTCCGGGAGCCTGGGAGCCCAAACTCTCAGCCCGGACTCCCGGGGAGAATTGCCATCTCCCACCCGCATGCCCACGAATCCCCTCGGCCTGTTAGTCTTCCAGGCTCGACATCGCAGCAGAGCCCCCGGGGTCCCCAGCGCCCTTTGGGTCACCCTCTAACTCACCTTAGAGCCTAGCGAGGCCCAAGGCCCCTCAAGCCTGACACCCCTCTCCGCAGCCCCAGAAACCCTGGCAGTGCCCCTCAATTCAGCCCGAGTCCCCACAGACCCCAACTTCCCTTCCCTCCCTTCCATCCCACAACCCTGGAAGCCTCCTCCCACAGAGGCCTTGCAGTTGGAAAGCATTGTGGTTCAAAATGACCATTTATTACTTGAAAGGAGGTATTTACAGTCACTGCCCCCAACCCTTTAAAACTTTTCCAAGAAGTGTTGGTAAATTTGGTTCACCCAAATGAGTAGGTTCTGAGTGTTTTATGTGTCTTTAAATATTTACAGTATACAAGGGAGATGTTTGTATGTGAGCTGCTTTTTTGTATGCGGGCCTTTGTATTTTCATGCCTTTGTTGTCAGAAAGATGTACATGGGAGACTGGGGACATTTGTTTAAACTAGTCCATAAGTGTAAAAATGTAATTCCAAATTGGCAGAAAATTAATTAGAAAAAAATTTTTAGTCCTTCAAAATGTTTTAATCTTTAAAAATTGTCCTTTTGGTCCTGTCAAAGTAGTATACGCTTTTATAGGAAAATCAGACAGGACAAGCAAGCAAAATGAATGGCCACAATCACCGTTAACATTTTGGTGTATATTCTTTCCGAACCATTCATATATATGTACTACAACATGGTGATACATCTTTTGGGGGAAAAATTTGTCACAAGAAATTTTACTATTGTGTTACCTAGCACCCCCCCTTCCACCTAGTACCCTGTGGATATCTATTTTATTCATGAATGCATAGTATTTTATTCTATGACCTAATTAAAATTTATTCCATTGCTTCCTATTGTACATTTAGTTTATAAATTTTAGGAAAAAGTATGAAAAGTTATTTTGAAATGGGCAAAAACATTTAAAGGTACATATTTGCAAAACCATTTCATGCTGTAACTAAATGATCAAAAAGCAAAAAATCTGGCGTTATCCATTCTTGACCAATTCTTCATTTTGGCCAAATTTTTATCTGGAGTTTCGCCTGGATCACCTGGCTCCGTTCCATACCCTGCCACCCAAACCCTCCCATTGCATCTTCTATCTCTTAGGGAGTCTCCTCAAACCTTTTCCTACACAGCTTCCCTCCCTATTCCAGACTTTTTCCAAACCCTCTTCCCTTAGAATCCCTCTATTAACCAGCCTAACCTGTAATCTTCTCTTTTTCCCTGCTTCCTTTGATCCCTCCCCCTGCCAATCTTTCTTAGACCTAGGCTCTGGAGCAAGTGCTCCTCACTTCACCCCCCTCAAATTCATCCTTCTGAACCCTACCATACAACTTTTGTTCCTAAGATCCCAACCTCTCATCTCACCCTACTCTTTCTCCTTAAAGATGGCTGTTCTGAGTCCGTTCACACTTTTCTTATGGACTGCTGTGGGACTTTCTACATCCTTCTCAGGATGACTTTTCCTCTCAGTATCCAGAAAATACCCCTTTATTTTTTTTAAATATTTTATTTATTTATTCATGAGAGACACAGAGAGAGACACACACACACAGGCAGAGGGAGAAGCAGGCTCCACACAGGGAGCCTGATGCGGGACTCGATCCTGGGCCTCCAGGATCATGCCCTGGGCCGAAGGCAGGTGCTAAACCACTGAGCCACCTGGGCTGCCCGAAAATACCCCTTTAGTGCACATTTTCTGCAAGAGGAAGCCTAGGCCTACTCCCTTGCTCCACAAACAACTATGAGAGTGTGCCTCTCCTAAGAATCCTGGGAAAGCCTCAGTTACTCCCCTAGGACCCTATCAAATCAGTGCCTGTCCTAGCCCTGGCCCCAGCCATCTTACCCCATGCTACTTTTCCCTCCCGCTTCCAGCTTAATGAATTCCAGTGAAGCAGCGGTGAAAAAATTTTTACCGAAGAGCAACTTATCTCGGGTGATTATTCGTGACAACCTCAATGCACAACGACGAACCTATGAGAGGGAGGTAAAGTCATCAAAAGCTTCTGCATTAGAGGGTGTTCGTGGCTTGACCCATGTTCAGTTCACTCTCCCCAGTAGTCTGGGCAGGAAGTGGTGCGGAATCACAGATCTTAGGGGTGATTGGGAGCCATCAATCTGCTCTAAAGCAAGCCCCATTTTACAGGGGAGGCAACTGAGATTCGAGGTAACTGATTTGCCCCAGATGTCACAGCTATTCCCCTGGGCCAAGGGAACCAGGGAGAAGGATTCCATATTTCTTGGCTCTTGTAGCATTATTTTCCCCCTCCAATCATATTATTTCTCTAGGGACATGGATTCCTACCATCTCCTATAAAAAGAAGTCTTGGGTCTTGGAGTTTAAAGTGGCATCAACACCCTTTGGTTTGTTTTTTCTCTCAGGGATTCCCTCTATGTTATAGGGGAGAGCTTAGGCCCTTCCCCTTTTTGCTTATGGACAAATAGGGTTGGACCTGCTTACCCAAAAGCCCGCAGAAGAAGGGGAGGGAAAACAATCTTGTCACTGCACAGACCCAATTAATTAATTCATTAAATGCATCATCAGGGGCTATGGGATAGGCACTGTGTTGGGCATGAGGAAGAGGCTAGGGCAAACGATGGACTGTGAGAATGTACTCATTTTTTCAAGTGGAGCAAGCAGCCCAGAGTGGCTACTACTCCCTTCTTTTTTTTTTTCCTACCCCCTTCTTGATTCTTGACTTCCCTCCATGTTCCAGCGCCAATCTGGATGGGCCTATGAGACTCTAGTATTAAGAGTAGAAGAGGCTTAAGAGATGGTGCCAAATCCTCTTAAAGGCCAAAGAGACCAAAAGAAGAGCAGGGATCTGGGTTTTTCTCACTTTGCTAAACTTCAGTGGCATGGTGTAGTGGAAAGAGGGTGGGCTTGGCAATGGACAAGCCAGCTTTGTGTGACCTCAGGGAATAAACATTTCCTCCAGGACTCTCTTTTCTCATTTTTAAAATAGGATCTATTGGGATCCTCAGTTGCAGGTGACTCAAACTGATCTTGTAGTAGAAGTAAAACAGAGAATGATGTGTTTATATAATCAAGGATGGGTAGGGCAAGGTCCGCAATGTTTGGGAGGAGAGGAGCCAGGAGCTCCAGCACCATTGGATGAGTCCTCCACTTTCCCTCTTCATCTCTTTTCTGTGTCTTTGTGCATGTTGGAGTCATCATCAGGCCGGCTGTCCCTGCTAAGCGTGGCCACAGGAAACCTTGGCCCATAGCCTAGAAAGGAAATGGAGTGCTTCCACTGTTGCTCACATTAGACAAATCCTGGAGAAACTCCAGCTGGCCCAGGGTGTGTCATTGGCCCATCCTTGTCCTAGTCAGTGTGGTCAGGTGGAATGTGCTATTTTAAATGGCCCAGGATGGGGATCCCTGGGTGGCGCAGCGGTTTGGTGCCTGCCTTTGGCCCAGGGCGCGATCCTGGAGACCCAGGATCGAATCCCACGTCGGGCTCCCGGTGCATGGAGCCTGCTTCTCCCTCTGCCTATGTCTCTGCCTCTCTCTCTCTCTCTCTCTCTGTGTGTGACTATCATAAATAAATAAAATTTAAAAAAATAAAAAAATAAATGGCCCAGGATGGATTGGGGGCCAATTTCTATGACCAGCGGGAGAGGGGACGTTATACTTCTGGCAAGTGGGGAGAGGATCTGTAAGATGCTGTAACTGGAAACTCTCCTGAGGTGCTTTTCATGTACCAGAGGTCTGTGCCACCCTCCAGCCATCCAGAAGTTCTCCTTTTATCTTTTTCTAAAGATTTTATTTATTTTATTTTATTTTATTTTAAGATTTCATTTATTTATGGGAGACAGAGAGAGGCAGTGGAAGAAGCAGGATCCATGCAGGGAGCCCAATGCGGGACTCGATCCCGGGACTCCAGGATCACGCCCTGGGCCAAAGGCAGGCGCTCAACCGCTGAGCCACCCAGGCGTCCCAAGATTTTACTTATCTATTCATGTGAGATACACAGAGAGAAGCAAAGACATAGGCAGAGGGAGAAGCAGGCTCCCTGGTCGGAGCCTGATGCAGGACTCAGTCCCAGGACTCTGGGATCACAACCTAGCCAAGGGGAGACACTCACCCACTGAGTCAAAGGGAGGCATTCAACCACTGACACTCAACTGAGCACCCCGGAAGTTCTCCTTTTAAAGCTGTATTGAGCCCTTACATGTTTTAGGTATTCAACATCCATTTTGTATTATTAACCCACTTAATAGTTCAGGAAACAGACTCAGAGAGATGGAGTAACCTCACTAAGGTCATACAGTACATCATTCTAGAGTTGTAAACCTAGGTCTGACTGACATTTTCCCTTAAGGATGAGACTTTCTTCTCCTTATTTGTAGACCTGGTGACTTGCTAAGGGCCCAGCTTGTAGAAGCTCATGGATTTGAGGCTTGAGGGACAGTATGGCAGTGTTTCTGCCCCCCCCCTCCAAAAAGTGCTCAAAAAAGAGGAACTGATTTCTCAGGACCTTGACAAGAACAGCTAAGATTTTGTATCTTGGGAATCATCTGAGCACACTCTAAGAACACACCCACCCTCCTTCTTCATCCTTGTTCCCAAAACGCACTTAGGTTTTTGGTTCATCCCTTGTTCCCTTTGTCAAATAATCATGGCAACACTGACTGGCCTTTATGGAGCTCTCCTTTGCTTACATTGTGCTGGGTTTTGAGACAGTGTCAGTGCTTAGAATGCCCAGGGGAGTTTGTGAAAAGTGTTGGCTCCCAGGATCATCTCCCACCTGGTTCTGTTTTCACATGCCCAACACTTCCCCATCCTTCAAAACCCAATCCCAATTTATATGTCAACCCTCTGTGAGGCTTTTCTTGATATCTCTCTTCTTTGAACTCTGTACTTCTTTTAGGGACGTGTCACTCCCTGCCTCACTTAGAAATATTTAGGCACATGCCCGGCCTTCCTGACTATGTTGAAGTCGCTATGAAGATCTGTGGTTGATTTTTGTTAGTGTCTGCCTTAGAGCGAGCTCATGGGAATAGGCAAATGAGCAAGTAAGATAAAGGATGTGCTTTCCTAAAGCTTCCAGTCTCATTGGGGACAGGACAGAAATGATATGCTAGACAAAACAAGCAGAGGTCAGTGTGATGTAGGGGATGTCAGAGACAATCTGTGGGAAGCACTAAGTGAGTAATCGGGGCAGGGTGATAGGATTAAGGAGGAGGAAGAACATGATGAAACTTTTCTCCACCCTCCCCACCCCACATCTCTTTTTGGCTTGTTTTCAAATAGAGATGTTGAGGTTAAAGTCAGGCTTCCAGCTGTGGACTGTCAGAGGTACCATAGGGGTTATGTAGCTCAATGGCCATGTTTTGCAAACAGGGAAACTGAGGCTCACTATGAGTCCATATATTTATGAACTATTGAGCCCAGCTAGCACATTTCCCACCTCTCTCCCCAACATATCCCCAGCAGCACAGATGTCTTGTTTTCTGTGAAGTAGCTTCTTCATCCTAACAACAGCTCTGTTTTTTTTAGATAAGAGCTTCAGAAAGGACCAAGAGAAAGATAAGCCACTTCTATGACCACCTGAAGAAAAAGTTCATGACAGACCAGCTCAGGAAGCTGGGCCGCTGGAGAAGGGAATCCATGAACATCCAGCAGTACCTGGATAGCATCCGAGTGTGCAAGCTCTAGTTCAAACTCCATTCTAGCAGGAGAAGCCAGCCACCCTAATCAAGGCAGAATGATCTGCCCCTGGGCCACAAGGACACCAGGGTACAGGAGGAAGAGAGGTAGACACTAGGCAGCTGACACCATCATAGAACAATAAACTGAGACCAGCGGATAGTGGAGCACAAAACCCTTCAGCCACAGTAATATTCCTTGCCCTGCCCCATCCCATCTGTTCTGGTGGATGTGCTCCTGACGGTCCCGTAGCTACCTGATTGGGAGGAGGCTGAACCAAGCCGGCTTCCATGGTTAAGGCAAAGATGGACCTTTGCTACCCACATGTCTGAAGTGGAATGCTAGGCCAAGTGTCCAGGGACAGTGAGTGGTAGCTTAGATGGGAAGGATTCAGTAGTGCCACTGACTAGTAGTAAGGGGGTCAAGGTGAGACATCAGACAGACCTAGGTTAAGTGCTATAGCTGCCACCTCTCAGCTATGTGACTTTGTAACCTCTCCGAGCCCCTGTTCCCTTATTTGAAAGAATGGGGTGGTAGCGAGGGAACCTGCCTCCAAGAACCGGTGTGAGGATGTGGAGTGCTTCACCCAGTGCCCATCACTGCCAATGGCTCTTATCATGAGGGGGCCTCCCTGATGGCTTCTGGCCTGCCTGCTGTCCCAGCTATACCCTGACAATCCCTACATTGTACCTTTACATGCGCAGGCCCCTCATTCAGAAGACCCTTTCAGCACCCCCCAGGGCTCTCAGGAAACTTCATCCTTCAAAGCCTATCTCAATGCCATTCTCTGCAAAGCTTTTCTGACCTTCTGCCTCCTGCCTGCCTTCTGCCTTTCCCCTCTCTGCCCCCGCCTCTCCCCACCACCCCTACCTTTGTCACATAGGTTTCCGCTCCCCTCTGAACTTTAATTACCCAAGTGGCTTAATTCTGCCTTGTGTGGTAGCTAATTGGGCATTTGTCCTAATCCCTGCTTAGATGGTATGGTCTTTGAGAGCAGGGACCAAGGATCCTCCAAGACTCAGTCCAGGCCTCTTCTGTGACACTTCTCCCAAACTGGCCTCAGTAAAAAAAGGCCATGCCTTCCTGTGCCCACACCTCTGTCCACACCAAATGTGTGGTTGGCCATTTCTTGTTTGCTCACTGTCTCCCTAGCCAGATTGTGAATGTCTTAATGGCAGGGATGCTTACTCATCTGTAACCACAATGCCTAGTAAATGGAATAGTCACTCAACGTTTTCTGGATAAATGACTATTCCTCTTTGTATTATAGCTTTAGCACAGTGCACAGAGCAAGGACCTAGTATAAATATATTATATATATATTAAATATATAAATATATAAATATATTAAATATATATATACTAAGTTGACCACATCCCCTCATTTTACAGATGAGGAAACTGAGGCCTAGAGCGGTGACTTGATTTGCCAAGGGTCCTGCAGCAAGTTATTGGTAGAGAACTAGAAGCAGGTGTCCTGACTGCCATGGAGTGGTCATTCTACATCACAACACCTGCTAGGTAAGGACATCAGTCCTCTCGTGGCTTTTGGAAGACTTCCTTAGGAAGTCCTCCTCATTCATAATCATCCTCATCATGCCCCTCTCCAGGCTTGCTGCCTGGCAGCAGGCCTTCCTTTAAACTGAATATCTGGGGCAGCCCAGGTGCCTGGGCAGCCTGGGTGGCTCAGTGGTTTAGTGCCCCCTTTGGCCCAGGGCCTGATCCTAGAGACCTGGGATCAAGTCCCATGTTGGGCTCCCCGCATGGAACCTGCTTCTCCCTCTGCCTGTGTCTCTCATGAATAAATAAAATCTTAAAAAAAAAAAAAAAACCTGAATATCTGGGAGACTCCAGCCCAGTGGGCTGGGTGGCAAAAGGAGGGAGATGTTCATGATGTTTTTCTTTTCTTCCTTTATGGTTTTCTTTTGAGAACTGGGGCATGCTACTTTTCAAGGAGAGTCAAAACAGTCTGTTCCCATGCTCTTATCTGTTTTTTTGCCTGATTACAACTGATTAGAATTTACACTTTATCATACAACCAAAAACCTCTTCTGTTAGATCAACCACTGCTAGCACTTTGGTGTCTTTCCTATGTTTGCTGTGTTTGTTTCCTGTCAACAAATATTTTTCCTTGGCCATCAGCTGATGTGCCTGGAAAGGGGAAATGCTCTGGGGACCCTGGAGTCTTCAGAGGGCCCACAGAGCAGCCCCAGTCTCTGTTTCTCCAAACTGTCCCTGGGGTTCTCCCCGCCTCCAGGATCTCACTTAATGTAGTCTCCCTGAGCCTTACTCCAGTCTAGCCTCCTGCCACATGCACTCTTCTCCCCTGGATGGCTGGCCTTGGCTGAGAGTCTTTGCATCTTCATGCTGTGGCCCAATGGACTGAGGGTTCCCTGGCAGTGAGATGTCAAACCAATGGGTCACTTTATAAATCACTAACTCACCTCTGATTGTGTGGATTCAGTCTTCCCATTTTTGCATTAAAAACCAGGGGATAGGGGCACCTGGGTAGCTCAGAGGTTGAGCGTGTCTGCCTTTGGTTCAGGTCATGATCCTGGGGTCCTGGGATCGAGTTCCCATGGGGAACCTGCTTCTCCCTCTGCCTATGGCTCTGCCTCTCTCTGTGTGTCTCTCATGAATAAATAAATTAAAAAACAAAACCCCCCAAAACCAGGAGATGTTACACTTAAGCAGGGAACAAGAAGTGATGGAATTCTGGAGAGGCCGCTTAATTGTTGGGAGGGAAAGAGAAGAAAAATCAACAAGGGAAGAATGGGGGTGAGGTTGTTGGATGAGAAGCTATTGTTCCAGAAATAGAATCTTGAAGCTAAGGAAAAGTTTTGAGATTCTTTAGTTCGGTGGCTATACATACGCATATGCAGAACTCTTAGTTCAAATGAAATCTTGCCCACAAGCCTATTCCAACAGTCAAGACTATTGCCTTATTAACATGTATTCAGCACTCATGTGCCAGGCACAAGGCTCAGCTCTTTCCAAACATGATTCATTGGATCCTCCCAACAACAAAATAGGTAATTTTAATAGCCTCATTTTATAGGTGAGAAATTGAGGCTCAGAGAGTTAAGAATCCCACCTAAGGTTGGGCAACTGGTAAGTGAGAAAAGCCACCCTAAGCCTATCTCACTCTGCAGACCATCTCCTAGTCAACATGTAGTAAGTTCCCCATCTTTATTATTCTAGTTGGAAGTGGAGGGCCTGGGACCTAGAGCCCTTCTGGAGTGTGATTTTACAGGTGATGTTGTAAGGGCCTCAGTTATAAGGTCAGCTAGGCTAAAACACAAGTGTCCCTTCTACCAGGTGGCTAGGAAGACCTGGATATAGGATATAGGATAGAGGCTGTTTAGGGAGATCTAGATGAGGGGGATGAAATAGGGCACAGGATTCCCTTCTACTGCCCATTAGCTGTGAAAATATGTTCTCAGTTTCACCCCCAGAAAATCTCTGTGGAATATCCTTTGTGTCTGAAGAACTATGCTGAGGGCAGGAGACAGATGAATGATACTCTCTTTTGAGCACACTTTTAATTCTTGCTGAAAATACATTTCATTCCCTCCTCCTCTAACATCACATGCATGTTACTACTTTAGAATGCTTGGGAAAACCTCCCAGTTTAGAAAACTTGGTGGGGGCACAGTGGACCCTGTTTTCCTTCCCTCTCCAGAATTTCTCCTTGACCTGGAACAAAAAGAGGGACGTTCTATTTACCGAGCACCTGTTACAATGCAAAGCACTTCATATCTTACCTCATTCAGTTCTCACAATGGTTGTCCGGTATTGTGCCCATCTTACAGGTGAGAAAACCAAGGTACAGAGAGGCTAAGGAACTTGCTCAAAGTCAGTAGCTTTGAGCCAGGCTTGAGATGCAGAGGGCATGTTTTCCGAATCATCCAGTCACTCTGGTGATCCTCGGCCTCATCGTGAGCACTAAACTCAATTTTAGCCATTGTTGGTGGCAGAAACTGCTTTGTGAGGGATACTTATGCTTTGGGCCTGTTGGTGGCCCTGGCCCCGGCCCCTGACTTTCTTCCATAGAGGTCAGTGACAGGGCAGGGAGGAAGTGTTGGATTAGGATGCGTTCCCCTCACAGCAGGGCCCTGCTGCAGGCTATCAGGCAGGAGCAGTGGCTTCAAAACCCCAGCAGGTAAATGTGGAACAGGCTGTCACAGGCTAGGCCGCTAGAATCATAGCCACAGCTTGTCAGGGAGCAGTCAGGTGCAGCCAAGAATGAACACAAAGTTCTTACATATCCATCCCATCAGTCCACCCATCCATTCCTCTGTCTCTCCATCCATCCATCAGTCCATCCATCCAACCACTCAGCTGTCCATATGGCCCTTCAGCACACAATCAGAACACACAGATGGAGGAATTAGTTTTCTTGTTTGCTGTGATCCTCTCAGTTTTCCTGATCAGTGTGGGGAAGTGGGGTGACCTGCTAACTGGGAGTGCCTCTACCTGGATTCACTGCAACCTTGGGCAAGTCATCCCTTCACTCTGAGAGTTTGTGGGGCTGAAAATACCTTAGAGCTGCCTTGTGCAAGGTCACTTCTCTTACTTTACTGATGTATAACTGAGGCAGGGAGTGGGAAACTCGCTTGCCAAGGACAGGTAAGGAATTAATGGTGGATTTGGGACTGGATTGCAGGACGCTGCCACTCATTTGTAAAGTGGAAGTGGGGATCCTGTTTCTCCTTGTCTTCTGGGATCGTAGGGAGGAGCCCATGGGGTAGTAGTGGTAGGAATCGCTTTGAGAGGCCAGAGTGTCCCTGAGGAGCCACCGAAGCCCTGGCTGCTGAGCCTGGACAGATCCCACAGTAACCACAAGGGGTCAGCAGATACTTGGGCGCTCCATTAGGATCTGCTGGAAGGCACAGCCTTGTGGGCTGGGGTCTGGGAGGAAGGCCAAGTCATTTAATTCCTGAGGATCCAAAACACGAGTAGGTGGGGACATATCCCAGTCCAGCCCCTTGTGAAATTGAGAAGTGTTACTCTGGGTGTGATAGTACAGAGCCTGGTCCAGCTGCTGACTTTGGAACTCTGCAGGGCTGTGAAAGCTGAGGGGGCAGAGCCATGAGCAGACCTGGGACTCCCTACTCCCCATGTAACCTTTCTTTGGGCTTTAGCTTTCCTACCTGCAACCTGGTGGCTGATCTCTGCACTCCTTCCAGTTCTCAGATCCTGAGATGTGGCAAAGGGCTTTACACACATGATGCTCCATAAATACCTGCATTTGAATGGATGGGAGAAACTCCTGCTCTGAGTGAA